ATTTTCCAAGTTTGGGTTGTGATGCAGGATGGCACGTCCTCAAGCATGCAAGCCTGTTTTGGGGTTTCCTGATCAAACACGAAGTTGTGAAATCAGGTTTGGTGATAAAATGGGTTGGAGCCAGAACATGCTCACTTACTAGCTGTAGAACATGCGCGTACATCGCACATGAACGGCTGCAACAGAGTGGCTTGGGTCAAAAAATCTCCAACTATGACACCTTTCGATTTGAGATTTGGACTCCCTTTTTTAGACCATGTTCCTACCTTTTTGGGACGGTACTGGCCCAAAAAAATCAAGCATCAAGCCCCACATGCCAGGCCATCCAAACATGAAGGTCCTTGAGCAGTTAGCACGTCTGGTGGGCAATGGCGTGGGGTCCTCAATGCTCGACCGCCAGCTTGGGTCAAGAAGGGTGCGGGCAGCAACCATTGCATCGTATCCACTAATGGGTACTTGCATTTCCAATATGTTTGGCTTGCAAGGTTCTTGAAGTCACTACTCAACGGAAGTCAGCTCTAACTATGACCCCAGAAACAAGACACAAGCAAAGGTAAACAACATTGAACTTATGATGATCCAATTACCGGGAAGAAGCGTACTGCCGGACTACATAATGATGAAGATGCCCAACCCACCAAGTTCCATAGCTGCACTTTCAGGCCCAGTCAATTCAGTTATGATTATGCAGTCCTTCTTCTGACCTTCACTCATGTGATCTTGCGTCGTATCACTTTTGGTATGTAGGGTCTCAATTCCAACCAAGGAAAGTGAATACTTCAGTGGCAAGTCACAATTTTGCCCCTCCTGCGGTTCTACCTGAACCAGCTGTTGGAAAATCCAATGATGATGCTACCTTTGATGCATATGGTGACTACTTCACACGTGGAAATCCGGTTGGTGAAAGTTCTTCACTCTTTCAGCCACCCTCCTCTCCTCCAAACACGGTGACGCCAGAAGCAGCTTGTCATGGCACATGTTGAAGTAGACAACCTGAATGTTTTAGTGTTGAATCCTAGATCTGGCATTTTACACTCTACAGGCTGGTTGCATCTAAGGAATTGGAATTACTTTACTTCGTGTGATCCCCACCATGACATTTATACATTTTCTTACTGGCAAATCTTCTGGCATTCTATCTGACATATCTTCTGACATTCTATTTGGCATTCTATCTGGCATATCTTCTGGCATATGACCTGGCATATCTTCTGGCATATCTTCTGGCATTCTATCTGGCAAATCTTATGGCATTCTATCTGGCATATCTTCTGGCACTCTATCTGACATATCTTCTGGCATTCAATCTGGCATTCTATCTGGCATATCTTCTGGCATATATTCTGACATATCTTCTGGCATTCTATCTGACATATCTTCTGGCATATTTTCTGACATATCTTCTGGCATATCTTCTGGCATATCTATCTGGCATATTTTCTGGCATTCTATCTGGCAAATCTTCTGGCATTCTATCTGGCATATCTTCTGGCATATTATCTGGCATTCTATCTGGCATATCTTCTGGCATATATTTTGACATATCTTCTGGCATTCTATCTGGCATTCTATTTGGCATTCTATCTGGCATATCTTCTGGCATATCTTCTGACATTCTTTCTGACATTCTTTCTAACTTTCTTTTGCACATTCTTTGTCCCATATCTTCTCGCCATATCTCTGGCCTATCTATCTGGCATATCTTCTGCATATTTCTGGCATTCATAATGGGCAAATCTTCGGCATTCTATATGGCATATTTCTGCATATTATCTGGCCATGATATCGGCATATATTCTGGCATATATTCTGACTATCTTCCTTGGCTTTCATCTGGCATTCTATTTGGCATTCTACTGGCTATCTTCTGGCATATCTTCTGACATTCTTTCTGACATTCTTTTTAACTTTCTTCTGCACATTCTTTGTCCCATATCTTCCTACATGAGGTCCGGCAGGGAACACTTGGCGTGGATACTCGCGGTTGAGGTCCGGCAGGGAACACTGGGCGTGGATGGTCGTGGTTGAGGTCCGGCAGGAACACTGGGCGGGGATGATCGTGGTTGAGGTCCGGCAGGGAACACTGGGCGTGGATGGTCGTGGTTGAGGTCCGGCAGGAAACACTGGGCGTGGGTGGTCGTGGTTGAGGTCCGGCAGAGAACACTGTGGATCGCGGGTCGCAGTTGAGCAAGGACGACGAGGACGACGAGGACGACAAGGACGACAAGGATGACAAGGAGGACGAGGAGGACGAGGAGGAGAGGAGGAGGAGGACGAGGCAGGAGGCAGGAGGAGGCAGGAGGAGGCAACTGACATAAAATCTAACAACCCTCACCTGGCAGGTGGGGAAAAACATCCTTTGCTTGCAAGAGCATGGAGATGCCTTTAGCGCTACAAGTTTTGAGTGGGCCCATGTAAAGCATCGCGGGCTTGAAAACCATTGCCTCAGGGCACAGCTCAATAGGGAATTGTCTTGTGGCAAAATCTTGTTTCCTGCCAAAGACCAACTGACCAACTTTTGTTAGGCTGGGTTGCTTCAAGATAGGTATCACTTCTAACCCTTTGGTGAGGTCTATTTCATACCTCAAAAAGGGATACACAATTAAAGGACCGGATAACCCCACATGTTACCAACTTCTTTAGACTTAGACTGAGCAGAGAAAGCGAGAAGGGAAGAGGAAGTATGAGAGTGATGGAGGGACGATGGTGGTATGTATGTAGGTATGTATGTAGGTAGGTAGGTGAGTTTGTGTGTGTGTGTGTATGTATGTTCAAGTACAGTGAGTGAGGGAGGGAGGGAGGGAGTGAGTGAGTGAGGGAGTGAGTAGAGGGATTGAGTAAGTGAGTGAGTGAGTGAGTGAGTGGGTGAGTGAGTGAGTGAGTGAGTAAGTGAGTGAGTGAGTGAGTGAGTGGGTGGGTGGGTGAGTGAGTGAGTGAGTGAGTGAATAAGTGAGTGAGTGAGTGAGTGAGTGAGTGCGTGCGTGCGTGCGTGCGTGCGTGCGTGCGTGAGTGAGTGAGTGAGTGAGAGTGTGAGTGAGTGAGTGTGAGTGAGTGAGTGAGAAAGTGACTGAGTGAGTGTGAGTGAGTGAGAGTGAGCGAGTAAGGGAGTGTGAGTGAGTGAGTGAGTGCCAAGGGACGCCAAAGCATACATCCGACCCCTTGGCAATGCACATTGCCCCACACCTGCCACGCAAAATGCACATTGTCCCACGCCTGCCACACAAAAGAGGCGGAGCCCAAGGGACGCCAGGGCGTACATCCGACCCCTTGGCAATGCACATTGTCTCACGCCTGCCACGCAAAAGAGGCGGAGCCCAAGGGACGCCAGGGCGTACATCCGACCCCTTGGCAGTGCACATTGTCCCACGCCTGCCACGCAAAATGCACATTGTCCCACGCCTGCCACGCAAAAGATTCGGAGCCCAAGGGACGCCAGGGCGTACATCCGACCCCTTGGCAATCCACATTGTCCCACGCCTGCCACGCAAAAGAGGCGGAGCCCAAGGGACGCCAGGGCGTACATCCGACCCCTTGCCAATACATATTGTCCCACACCTGCCACGCAAAATGCACATTGTCCCACGATTGTCACGCAAAAGAGGCGGAGCCCAAGGGACGCCAGGGCGTACATCCGACCCCTTGGCAATGCACATTGTCCCACGCCTGCCACGCAAAAGATGCGGAGCCCAAGGGACGACAGTGCGTACATCCGACCCCTTGGCAATGCACATTGTCCCACACCTGCCACGCAAAATGCACATTGTCCCACGCCTGCCACGCAAAGGAGGCGGAGCCCAAGGGACGCCAGGGCGTACATCCGACCCCTTGGCAGTGCACATTGTCCCACGCCTGCCACGCAAAATGCACATTGTCCCACGCCTGCCACGCAAAAGATTCGGAGCCCAAGGGACGCCAGGGCGTACATCCGACCCCTTGGCAATCCACATTGTCCCACGCCTGCCACGCAAAAGAGGCGAAGCCGCAAGGGACGCCAGGGCGTACATCCGACCCCTTGGCAATGCACATTGTCCCACACCTGCCGCGCAAAATGCACATTGTCCCACGCCTGTCACGCAAAAGAGGCGGAGCCCAAGGGACGCCAGGGCGTACATCCGACCCCTTGGCAGTGCACATTGTCCCACACCTGCCACGCAAAATGCACATTGTCCCACGCCTGCCACGCAAAAGAGGCGGAGCCCAAGGGACGCCAGGGCGTACATCCGACACCTTGGCAGTGCACATTGTCCCACGCCTGCCACGCAAAAGAGGCGGAGCCCAAGGGACGCCAGGGCGTACATCCGACCCCTTGGCAGTGCACATTAAGAGGCGGAGCTGAAGGGACGCCAGGGCGTACATCCGACCCCTTGGCAATGCACATTGTCCCACGCCTGCCACGCAAAAGAGGCGGAGCCCAAGGGACGCCAGGGCGTACATCCGACCCCTTGGCAATGCACATTGTCCCACGCCTGCCACGCAAAAGAGGCGGAGCCCAAGGGACGCCAGGGCGTACATCCGACCCCTTGGCAATGCACATTGTCCATCATTGTCCCACACCTGCCACGCAAAATGCACATTGTGCCACGCCTGCCACGCAAAAGACGCGGAGCCCAAGGGACGCCAGGGCGTACATCCGACCCCTTGGCAGTGCACATTGTCCCACGCCTGCCACGCAAAATGCACATGAGTGAGTAAGTGTGTGAGTTGAGTGAGAGTGAGTGAGTGTGAGTGAGTGAGTGAGAGTGTGTGAGTGTGTGAGTGTGAGTGAGTGAGTGTGAGTGTGTGAGTGTGAGTGAGTGAGTGTGAGTGAGAGTGAGTGAGTGTGAGTGATTGAGTGTGAGTGATTGAGTGTGAGTGAGTGAGTAAGTAAGTAAGTGAGTGAGTGTGTGAGTGAGTGAGTGGGTGAGTGAGTGAGTGAGTGGAGTGAAGGAGTGAGTGAGTGAGTGAGTCAGTGAGTGAGTGAGTGACTGAGTGACTGAGTGACTGAGCGACTGAGTGAGTGAATGAGTGAGTGAGAGTGTGAGTGTGAGTGTGAGTGTGAGTGTGAAGGACGGGAAGGACGGGAAGGAGGAGGCGCGGATACAGAACTAATTAAAGGACCGGATAACCCCACATGTTACCAACTTCTTTAGACTTAGACTGAGCAGAGAAAGCGAGAAGGGAAGAGGAAGTATGAGAGTGATGGAGGGACGATGGTGGTATGTATGTAGGTATGTATGTAGGTAGGTAGGTGAGTGTGTGTGTATGTATGTTCAAGTACAGTGAGTGAGTGAGGGAGGGAGGGAGTGAGGGAGTGAGTAGAGGGATTGAGTAAGTGAGTGAGTGAGTGAGTGAGTGGGTGAGTGAGTGAGTGAATGAGTGAGTGAGTGAGTGAGTGAATAAGTGAGTGAGTGAGTGAGTGAGTGAGTGAGAGTGTGAGTGAGTGAGTGTGAGTGAGGGAGAGTGAATGTGAGTGAGTGAATGTGAGTGAGTGAATATGTGAGTGAGTGAATGAGTGAGTGAGTGAATGAGTGAGTGAGTGAGTGAGTGAGTTGTTGAGGAGGGTGGACGGGAAGGAGGACGAGGAGCGGATACAGAACTAAAAACAAAAACCCCACACGTCAATGTGGGGAACAAATATGTGGTTCCAGTTCTCACGTGTGTTGAATTTAGAAACTTAGTTTTTTTTCATGATCCTTATGATTATGATTGTGGTGTTTCATCCCGGCAAGTTTCATGTTACACTTCAAAGCAGTCTCTTGCAGCATGATACTGGGAAGATGGTGCTGAGTAGAGAGTTGATCGGTGGTTCCTCGCGCCCCAAAGAAATCACTTAGGAAAATGGTTGAACGACGGCATGGCGCAAAAACATGTTTTGTCTTGACTTCAAACATTAGATGGTCGCATCTACACATGAATTAAAATCATTGAACATCAATGCTGGATTTGTAAACTTTTTAATGATTGAATTTTGGTTGATATATCTATAATATTTTAAAAACAACATGTTTCTTCGATATGGGGTACAGCAGAAATCAAAATTTGTTCACAACCTTGGCTGATTTCATCTTGGAATTTGAGTCCCTCTCGCAACCAAACCTGGTAATGGCATGGGAAATTGCCTAAAAATGGGATAATGGGTATCTAAACGGGTACAAATATCTATAAATATAAATATATATATATAAATGGTGGGAGTTTCCAGCCTGCGCCATGTTTGAGTACCAGAGGGTAATTACCAACTCCATCCACCACATCCAACCTGTAGCAAGACTTTTCTTTCAGGCTTATGAAATGTTGTGAAGACTTCGTGCTTGGATGCTCTTTCCTCTTGCAGTGTAACACCAGGAACGGAACTTGCCTCCCAGGGTCCCTTTTCTTCCCAAGGTGGAATTGCCTTATTTTTTTTTGTCACGGGTTGCCACTTCAATGCTCACTGGGTAAGGGGATTCCAAACCCACCCAATCTTCATGTTCTATCCTGGTGCCGCTCCGTGAAAGGAATTGTTGTTTCTATCATCATTTCCATTGGGTCATTGGCCCATTTTTTTCGGATTCCTCGCCCGCTTTAATGCTGACTTCCGCGTTGGTTGTTGCCTGCGGCGACTTTGTACTTTACTATGTAGCTTTAAATGGGGATGCAGACCAATACTATCTAATACTATACAACCCTGTCGAATATTATCTAATACAATCTAGTACTATCTAACACTATCTAATTTTAGCTGACACTATCTCACTATCTAGTACTAACCAGAGATTTTTTTGCAGGTTTTAAGATCGGTCCATGCTGTCAACAAACCCCCGCCAGCAGCTTTGGTTTAGCAGTGGGTTTTCTAATTTCCGAAAGTTATTATTTGAGGGATGCGATGTGATATTCACACCCAAAATAAGTCAAAATAATCCACGGACACGTTGGCCAGAAGCGGAAAGCTCAATTAGATTGACCATGTAACTTTGGTTTCGAACGTTTCCCATCTGCGAACAAACTTTGTTGGTTAACGGCTCAAATTTGCACTCCCCACAAGTTGTCCACATGGGTTGCTGAAGTCCCAGTGATCCCAGGGACAGCCTGCTGCAGTGGACGCGGATGACAGTGGAAAAGAGGAAGCAGGATGATCATGCACCGAAGCAGCTGAAGCTTCCAACGCAGCAGCAACAAGTGGATGATCGTGCACGGAAGCAGCGGAAGCAGCGTGGGAAGGGCTTCGGCAAGGGAATGACATGAGTGGAACCAGTGAGCAGTGGCAAAGTCTGAGTATAAACGTTGGTTTGGTAAGTTAGCGGCGTTTCGTCTGCTTTACTGTAAATCGTTGTTTGCTTTACATGGAAGATAATGATTCACTAACACCACTGTTTTTGTGTTTTCAGAGCATCTGAGATAAGCCATAAAAAAATGTAAATCTTGGTTGATTCATGCTGACAGTGGGTTCCCACATTCTTTTGTAAATGGTAGTAATATGAGGTAGATATTCCCAAAACATCTACCACATCATGTTTTATTCAAACCATACTTACACCATAGTCAATCACTTCAGTGGTTGATGGGTAAATCATTTGGCTGGACCGTGCCGCATGTCGTGAGCTTTTTTTGGCCACTTTTCGCACTGCTCAAGTCCCGCTCTCCCTTGGAGTTTTGATGATCCTTTTCCTCCTCTACAAAACTACAATGCCAATTTAAATTGAGTTTAAAACTGATCATTGAGTTTAAAACTTTTTTGATGTAAATTGACATTGAGTTTAAATTGATGCAACCAAGAATGTCAATTTAACCATGCAAAGCAACTGATGGATGTGTATAGTTTGATGGATGAATTCAAACCATAAATGGAGCAAATGGAGGAAGACTTGGGTCTTACCGTAGTACCTCTGTCCACATCGGTGTCTGAAAATTGGGTATGGTATGACATGATGATAAGCATTGATAAGCCATGGAACTGTTGAACCCCCCAATTTTCAGACAGGCCAGACAGACCTATATCTTGTCAAACACAGCTTGTATAGCTTGCAGGTATATCATCGCCTGCACTTGCTGTTGTATAGCCATGCATGCCTCGAGTTTCAGTCCTTGCAACGCTGCACCAACGTTTGTCGAAGTTGCACTTGTGCACCCTCAGATGTTGTGTTAGGACTGGCGCAAGATCCTGCATGTTGTTTGGTTGAAAAGGGTGAACATTGAGGAGCTGTATCGGAGGTTTGTTTTTATAATATATATATATGTTTAGATGGATTGTGATCGGTTTGATTGTGGTTTTCAGACGTTTTTGCTGCTGTTGCGATGGTCGGTAGTGCTATCATGTACTTACTTGCGTTCCACTATTTTTGTTCTCGCCATTGGGAAAGGTGATGATGAACAATTTCGCACAGCACAACGCAAAGAATACCCACATCAATTGTGTATAGTGTTGGCTGCTGCTGTTATCTACCATTTGCGTAGATTCCACACAGTTTTTTCTACTCGATGTGTCACACCTCTGATGCCACGTAGTACAGATGCATGGGTTTGCGGTTTGCCATAATGGCGCAGTCAGAGCCAATATTGACTCTTTAGGCGTGGGTGGTTGCCTGATTTCCAAGGGTACGCATGTGATCATTTTTGTTTATTTAGTTCGAGAATATTCGAGAATCAACCGCACAAGGCTGCAGGGCGAGACCCCAAACGATGTTGTCCTTCTTGTTGCAGTTGTTGCTGACATGTTTATGTTTTGGTATGATCGTTGAATACCGTGTGATCCTGTCCAAACCCGATTCGAGGTGCAAACATATTGCAGAGAAACTGTCAGAGAATACTGATTGCCAACAATCCGAGATGATCGACATATTGTCCACTGAACACGACATTTGACGAATACATGTCCTTTTTCTTTGCATCAACATACTTATGATGCTCATGCTCAAATCCGCCTTCCATCATCCAGAAAATCATCCCGTAATCCCTGAGACCAGTTGGTTATATTTTTTGCAGGAATCTGGAAGAGGCAAAGATATTACCTTCTGGTAAACTAACAGTTTGCTATTGAAATTTGCCATTTATAGTGGATTTACCCATGAAACATGGGTGGATTTTCCATAGTTATGTTAGTTTACCAGAGGGTAAACCCCATAGAAACAAAAATCAATAAATAGTTGTATAAGTCCCAATGGCGACAATCACTGGGATGGGGGCCGCAATTGACCTGATGTATGGGTATGGGTCACATGGGCAACAGCAAAAAGCTCTGTGAAAGATTCAACATACATGAAATGGTTGCTCGCTGGGAATCTAACTGGGATTATTATTTAGATCAGTAATGATAAGTATATTTGGTTGGTGGTTTGGAACATGAATTTTATTTTTCCATATATTGGGAACAAAATCCGCAACTGACTAATATTTTTCAGAGGGGTTGAAACCACCAACCAGATATAGTTTATCCTTTAATTGCAGGGTTTCCGACACGGCGCCTTCGGGTTTAGCCACGCCGAGGTTAAATCTGTCCATGGAATTTTGCGACTGCTTTCTGTGGGATACACCCAGTTTTCGTCGGGGTGTTTTTCGGTCATGTTTCGGGCGCAATTTTTCAGAAGGCAACGGACACAAAACCAATTCCTTTTTCTGGGCCATCCAACTTGAACCAGATGAGATTGCCATAGGATCCATAGGGCACCAGTCCATTTGGGTCCTGAGAATAGGGTGCCCAATTCCATCCCGTGCTGATCATATCTGAAGAAACTTGTTTTTTTTCATGTTTTATTGAATTGCCATTTTTTGGGGGCTGAAGATTCAATTCGTACAGACCAATCCATATATCATCAGATTATCATCATATATCATATATCCTTGTATTGTATATCCTCACAATATCCCTATGCTATCCCTCCTTATCCCCATGATTAAACCATCAAACAATTGGTTACACCAGGCGCTTGCAGGGCCTTGATCTGCGGAAAAAAACCACGATGCTTTCCCTAGGGAAAAGATCTACAGTCATGGCGGTGGTTTTTCGAGATCTTTTTGTAAACGTTCACAGGAAGTATTCAAGTCAAAAACGGAAGTATTCTAGATCTTCAAACGGTTTATCTATTCAATAATTCAGTCAAGAAGTTTTTTTTTGGGTAAGGCTAAGATAGAGAACTGGAGCCGTGGGCATGGCTCAACTATAGTTGACCCGCAGAATTTTAAGTTATTCTTGGTATTCACACTCATACGCTGATACGAATTCCAGACTCGAAAAATCACCGATTTTGAGGCGCCAGAACAAAAAAATCGATGTTGAGCTGGGAAAATCTGAAATCTCTAACTTCGAAGATAGAAACACTTAAGGTTTAGATCCAGCAGCTTTGGGTGGGCTATGAGTTACCCCAGGTCCCAGGTTTTTCATCGAAATCGATCTTCTGGGGGAACATCAGCCAAAGAATCATTCCTAGTCACAATCCAAATGGCTTTGGTACCCGAGAAGTTGCTGGGGAACACCCCAAGAATCCATGGTTTAAAACATCATGATCATCATGTTCCCAGTGAAAGTTGCATATTTAATTTCAGTCTGGACCCAGGGCAGCGGGTCAAGCTCCACCCAGAGCAACTGGGCGAAATTCAGCTTGTGGTCTAGGTAGTTTGAAATTTTCCTTGGTAAATGGGGTAGAAATTGGGGTAAAATGTTTTTTTGTAGATTTTTCAGAAAGTCTTATAGTGTGTTGCTTCTAATTTCCGGTAGACGAAAACGAGGAGGGTGTGGGATCTAGCTCTGACAAACTTGGGTTGCTGAGTTGTGGATAGATCCTCACCCGGAAATTCGATAAGCCACAGCACAAATCACCTCATTAAAAGGAAAGCTGCTGGTGTATTTGGACGGTAGTCCACTGTCAAATTCTCATGTTTGCCTAAACCCCACTGGAATTTCGAGTTTGAGGAAGGAAATTTGAGGCCTTTTGACATCTTTGGGATGGGGTAAAACCACCAACCGACCATGATTTCGGAACCACGAAGTGGCCCTCCTAGATAAGTCAGCTGGTTCATAAGCAGGTTAACCAGGGATGATAAGGAGTTGAAAAATCCAACTTACATATCTGCATGGATGTGCATCCCACTTAGAAGCTGGGTCATCACCCATAAATTTGTGATTTAACCCCATTTATCCCCTGTATCTCCGAGTGGAGGGACTTCCGACCGTTAGCTGCTGCAGCTTGCCAGTCCTCAACTTGGGTGGACAGGCCTCCCAGACCAGTCCCAAAGCCATGCCCAAACATGAAATCATGTATCATTTTGTAAAATGGGTATGGATCAATACCTATTAATACCATTTTTAGTGGGATGAACATCCATTTACCAGCTATTTTGATGTTCACCAGGGGTACAAGGTTTTGACACACTGCCAAATGAACAAAGTTGTTGGCCTAAGAGATGTTATTCATGTTTTTCAATGCCCATGGTTACAGTACATTGAGTACATCAAAAGATTGAACACCAACATCTGAGTGCAACCTCTTGTAGATGCAAGTCAGCAACAATTTAAAAGTTGTTGAGAAGTCTCCATCTTCAAGGATTGAATCCGCATCTACCTTCTGCCGCAAAACTTCCTGCCACACCCCAGAAAAAAACTCCCAAAACAACACCACAAAACCAACCAACCGGATATTCTAAGCACTACCTTGACCCTCAAATACTGGTTGGAATTGGTAACAGTATTCAACACTTGTGGACAACGTGTTGCGGAACCAAATGGAATGAAACATGTTCAAACAGTTTTGTTATACATTTGGCATGTTGAGGTGCGTGAGCACATGATGGCAATGCAGTGGCAAATTTGGTGATAATTATGTCGTGCCAAGATGTACAACAATCATAGTTGCTATCATCATTGCTAAACATAGATCGTTATTGAGAATATATAGATCACTATTGTTTATACCTATAGTTGTCAAAAACATGTACATATTGACAATAATCATAGTTACTACATGTTATTACCAACATTTCAGAAAAAATATCATTGCTGGATAGCCTTCTGGGCATGCTTCGCCCTGAGGTGAAGCATTTGGGCCAGGCACCCAGTGCTTTTCTGCGGCAAACCGTTGACCAGGACGCAGCGGATATGGAGGGACATGGAGGGACACGTTTGGCACGGAAAACTTGGGTTTTGACATGGAAACATGGATGGATTATGTCGATTTCATGGGATGTTGATGGTATTTCTTTATGTATGTTTAATGGGATTTTAATGGGATTCGTTGGGATGTATGATGGTTACCCCATGGTAATTGACTAGTTTGCGAGCTGGAAAATCACCATTTTAAAGTGGTAAACCATTGAACTACATGGGCCATTTACCATAGATATATTGAATTACTGGAGGTAACCAACAAGATAAAAGGATTGAAGAAGCCAACGTTGGGAATCGACAAGAAAAAACCCAAAAGCAAGACAAGGGGACTTGACAAGCAATGGATGGACATTTACAGACAAAGCACGGGCTTTTACATGTGATTTGTGATGTTCTTAAGTTGGTACACATCACACCAGGCTAGTTATACCCGCAGCACGTACGCTACGCCCCACGGGTACTTCACTATATACACTTTCATATGGTATTTGCAGGGTTTCTTTAGGGTTTCTTTAGGGTTTCTTTAGGGTTTCTTTAGGGTTTCTTTAGGGTTTCTTTAGGGTTTCTTTAGGGTTCTTTGGGCGCTCTTGAATACAGAGATGCGGGTCGCAGGGTCGAAATTTGAGGCATTGCGAACGAAACTTATGTGCGAAGACACCTAAATCTTGTTGGATGTATATTTTCATACATGTTCAGACCCACTATCCATATGAAAGTGGAGAACACGTGTAGATTTACGGCATGTGCCAGTGAAACAACCCAGTTGCACAGCTGAAATGACAACGTTGGCGTTTAGAGTTAAGGCAGTTAAGGAGGTTAAACAAGTGGGTTTCACCCACAAAAATTAATGATGATTTTGGGGATGCAAAATAAGGATTTCAGAGCATAGAAAATCAATTGGCATATTGATGCATATTGCGATTATATATATATATATGTATATATGTATTTATATATATATATATATGTATATACGTATTTATATATATATATATATATGTATATGTATTTATATATATATATATGTATATGTATTTATATATATATATATCAATTTCCTATGAATTTCATGAAATCTAGACCATACTGTATCCCATTGTGCCACTTTTTTCTCCATATCCCCTTTTTTGCATCTCACCCTGGTACTCCTCAGACGCCGACACCAAAACCCGTACCACACTATGAAGTCGTGGTCCTGCAGAAGTGCCGTGTCCACACTATGGAGCTGGTAGCCTGGGGAAATCTTCACCCAAGCACCAAAAATGGGGGAGAAGACCCTGGTAGCCTGGCGGTAAATATTGCTATATAATATATATATATAATATATATATATATAATATTATATATATATATGTATATATTTGTTTTTTTTCTGATTGGTGGTTTGGAACATGAATGGATTATGACTTTCCATTCAGTTGGGAATGTCCCCAACTGACGAACTCAGTCCATCATTTTTTGTAGAGGGGTAGTTTTACTCAACCACCAACCAGCTATAGTTCTTGTTGAATCCCAATAACTTTGGTAAAATCTCCTCGGATCTATGGGGATGATGTTTAAAAATGGATGTTCATCCACAGAATCATAGAGGTCCGGTCCCCGGTCCACGCATCAGAAATGGTAGAATAGTGGGACCTGGGATGGAGTTCTGGGGCTATGATGGGAATGAAGAAGCGGCTCTCAGCATCAAAATGAGGCTATAGAAAGTGCTTGAACGTTTACGAAGATATTCGCAACTTCCCCTATCATGGTCCTGGGGGGTTGAAGTTTCATGAAATTTCACACAACAATGCTGAGAGTACTTATGGCATTTATGTGTGGAACTATCACCATCATCATCATGGCATGTTTTTTTCCGTTGAGGGAATCACTAGGCCGAAAAACGGGGACTTCAATGAATTGAGACTTGAGGAGGCGACCAACAAGGCCAACAACCACCTTTTCAGGTTGAACGTGTGGAGATTCATCGATTTTGTTGCTATCAACATCTTTGAACAGGAAACCTCCCGCAACAAACTTAGGCGAGAAAAACATGCCCTTGAAATCCCTAAAGAATCAGTTCTAGGTCCTAGGTCCGTGTTGACGTAAACTTCAAAGGTCCAGCATTTTGGACGCAGAACATGTGTAGAAAAACAGCATTTTGCATGAATTGTATCTAGCCTTTTTTCTTGCCAGCCATGTTTTTTTTCCGCAAAATCAACTAAAGTCCAGGCAGTGAATTTTTTATCGATTCCCTTCAGATCATCATCCACAGATCGCAAGATATCGCGCTTAAGTGGTTTTCATGTGGCTTAAGGGCTAGGAAGGCCCCGAAGGGCGAAAGCATAGAAATAATAATAGCGTAATATGTAGTAATATGTAGTAATATGTAGTAATATGTAGTGATATGTAGTAATATGTATATAGTGATAGTGATAGTAATAACATCCCAGAATGTATTGATACTTGCAAGCATCTTCTGTGATACTTGCAAAATGTCAAACCGCAACATTCAGTTTTTGTTGTGGTGACACGGTGAGCCTGCCAGTACTGCACGTTTTTGTCAATTTGGGATTCATGAATCCAGAAGTTGCTGTTCAATAGAGGCTACGGGGCACCAGGAATCCCCTCACATACTTATATAAATTCCCCTCGTAAATCCAAGCATTACCATGATCCATTACCATCCTGGTTGGTGGTTTGGAACATGACTTTTATGACTTTCCATATATTGGGAATGTCATCATCCCAACTGACGAACTCCATCATTTTTCAGAGGGGTTGGTTGAAACCACCAACCAGCATCTGAATTAGTGGAATTTACTTACTTCATGGCTAATTCCTATGGAGCTTTCCCTTTGTCATGGGGATACCCCGGGTACCATCCGAATGGCGCCGTTACGCCGAACGGCGCCATTCGGTCCACTCAGGGTGTGGAAGCTGCGTCCTGGCAATCGCAATTTGTTGGAGGCCTTCGGTCTGGATCCTGTGGATTCGTATCGTTTTTTTTTGGCTGTGAAAAAATTGGGATTCATAATTATTGAACTAACATAACTGTTTTTAGTTTATAAAAATTGGGAACTATTCAACTATTTTTCATCTCCCAAATTGCTATTACTCTCTGGTGAACTAACATAACTATTGAACATGGCCATAGAAATAGCTGATTTACCCATTAAAAATTGTGATTTTCAATAGCTATGTTAAATTACCAGAGGGTAGAATAAGGACATCAAGAGAAACCGATGGATTTAGGGGCACACTATGTTCAAACAAAGCCATATGTAGAATTTCATTGATACACGGATATATCCCTCATATTCCCATTGTCCTAAAGTTACCTCATGTGCTACTGCTGTGGATGGTTGCGAAATCCTGCACCAGTTCATAGGTGGTAAACATCCCATTATTTATAGGTTTTCTATCATCCCAGGTGGTGCAGGATTTCTTCCATCCACAGTAGTAAGCAGTTCTTTCTACTATGCACATAGAAGTTCAATGGATTCCCATGTTGTGGTTGGTTAAGCCCGCATTGTGACAAAACAAACAAAGACATCTTGGTTGAATCAACAGTTTTGTTGGTGAAATCCTCGTTTTTCTTGCTGCTGCAACCTGATTTTGAGGAAACTCTGATCTATTCACTTGGATGTAGCCAGCCAATTAGCCAGTCCAGGAAAAGAGGGTGTATTTGAATATGGGAATATATGGGGAATGCAGTATGCCATGTATGCCTCCCAAATGGCCACTTTCATGGGGAAAATGATGTTTTAATCGCTTCAACACCAGAAAACATGGGAGTCAACATAACTATGGAAAATCCACCCATTTTTCGTGGGTAAATCAACTATTTCGACTGGGCCATTTTCAATAGCAAACTGTTTGTTTACCAGAGGGTATCATGGGTCGATGATTATAAACCATCATTAACCATATAATAACCATATATTCACCATGATTAACAATATATATATATACCAGACCCTATAGCTATGTAAACGTTTACCAGGCCGGGTATACCTCCAATTTTTCCGCTCACCAGCCATGAAATCCAGTGAAATCCAGTCGTAGGCCCTGGCCCTCTTGATGCATGCGCTGCGCAAGAACTCCAGGTGCCCGGTCGCCGGACCGCTCGGACGGTGCGAGGGTGGGGAAGCCATGCAATGGTCCCAAGAGGACAGTCACTTTGTTTGATTTAAGTTGGGGTTCCATGTGAAACTGGTGGTTTGGAACATGACTGGATTATGACTTTCCCATCATATTGGGAATGGAAAATCATCCCAACTGACGAACAAAAATATGTTTCAGAGGGGTAGGTATACCACCAACCAGGAAAGTGATTGGTAAACATCCCATAAAGCCGTATTTTTTTGGCTAAAACCTTGGCGGGATGGTATTTTTTTGCCTTGGCAGGTCCTACAACAGCTTCCCGCAGGCAGGGAACTGCAACGCTGGGAAGGGGTCATTTGGGGTGGTAACATGTCGTTTTTCTAAGCGGTTGCATAAGTGGTTGGAGTTACTCAATGCTATTGATGTTTATTTAAACCTTGACGCGACTGAGTTTTTTTGTTGATATATTGTTTGAGTGTGTTGAAATGATTACCATCTGGTTATTTAACATAGCCATGGAAAATTCCCATTTTTAATGGGTAAACCATCTATAAATGGGCCATGGCTTCCATGGCTATGTTAGTCATAACCGGAGGGTATCATTTCAACACCCTCAAACGAAAGTCTGCAATGATGTAGAGGCTTCGGAATTATTTGGTAATGAGTTTTGATATACTCTCTGGTTATGACTAACAGTTCGCCATAGAAGCCATGGCCCATAGAAATACTTTACCGTTTTTATTTTGATGGGTGGATTTTCCATGGCGAACTGTGAACGTCATAACCAGATGGAAATTAATTCAACATACTATCCATCAACAACCATTGGAAGTTGCCATGGCTCCCCAGCGGCGTAGCACATAGTAGCACTCACACACTCAGCCAATGGCCGAAGTCACATGTTGCTTCTGTGCGATATGTGAAGTTTTGTTGGTATTGTCTGGGTAAATTATAACGACCTCACTGCGACCTCACTGGAAATCATGGTTAATAAGGGAAATCATCCCCAAATGGCCTTAATTCAGGTTAGTGAAATATTATAATTTACCCAGGTATTGTCCACTGTATTGTGTATCTTCCTATGATGGGTCAATAGCTTTCTTTGAGCATCAGAATGGTGGGAGATGACATGATATGACCATGACAGCCCAAAATTGGCAAGACCCGGAAGTCTGGAACTCTGTTTTGTGGTTTGGGTTTCGCAACGACACACTATCCAGATCATCCCATAGCGTTGAACGCCACGCTTGCGCCAGTCTTTGCGCAATGTGATGGAAGGAAGTGCAAATCCGTGGCTGTCCGGTGACCCCGAGCGAGGTGAAAAGTCGGGGGATGTATGCAAGCTCCTATTGACCCCCAATGTATATGGAAGCAACCATCAAAATTATGGTTTTAAGATGATTTAACTAATGAACTTTATGTTTACCAGCCGAAATGGAGATCTAATACTTTTAATGATTACATGTCAACAGAAGTGGGGATAAGAATCATTTATATTGGGTAATTTCAACTATAATCAATCAATGCTTTTTTGAGGTACCAAGTTTTCAGACACACCAATATAGCAAATAAACATCGACAACCCGATGCAACCTGCATATCCAAGACTTTTGATTATGTCAACTTTACGTAGACACTTGTGAGCATGTTGCATCAATAAAGATAGGTTCTATTTAAATCATTGATTTGGCCACTGCGTGTGATTGTCCTGTGATGAAAGGGGATACTGCAAGAACATGACACGTGTTTCATTTTTGAGGTACAACTGTTCAATGAAACTTACGGTGAGAAATTGATGGCTCTCAGCGTTCGATGGAAGACAGCCACTCCCCCAAGTCAGGTCACCCGCTTTTCTATGCCTTAGAAACGTGGTTGTTTGGGGTTTAAAGAAGACACCAAAGGGTACTGGGGACGCCTTTCTTGTCGGGTGGTCCTGTTTCGGATACACCTGGCTTGTTGGGATGGGCCTGCGCTGATATTGGAGCTCCTCTAGATTTGTCTGGAAATAGCGGACAAAAACATGCAGGGGTTACAGTTTGAACTGCATGATTCAGCATGCAAATTTTAGTAAATTCGGTGGTAAATGGGTGAATTCCCCTATTTTCAGACATCCAACAAGAACCCATGGGGATAAACGTTTGATTTCCCATTCACGGTGGTGAAGGTGCCATGATAACATGTACCTTCCCCGCAGGGCTTCATTTCGAATGAAGTCCCAACTCAAGCAATGTGAGCTTCTTTTGAATCCGTATACCCTCCTTTGTGTCATCAAACCTGACGTTGGCTGTCTGGAAAATCCCCACAATGGAGGTTTGTACATGGGATAATCATCGAACTTTTTATGCTCGATTTTCCAGTTGAATCACTGGAGGGTTCTGGAGGGTACTACTGGTACACTTATTGATCTATTCCGAATCAGTTTCCTACATGGATCTTTGGAATCTTCACCAAAGTGTGTAGCTGGGAAAATCTTGGATGCATCATGTACGTAATTTAGTACTTCAATCTTTTGCCGTAAATTAGAATATACTATCTATACTAAAAGTATATCTTTGACATTTTTTTTGCAGAGTATCTAACATTGGCAATGTCAATTGCCAATCTTTCCCCCAAGGTCCAGCTTCCAGAATCTCTACAACCGTTTTTTCTGACAGCAAGTAGCCCCCAACGGCACCAATGTTGGGCTTTAGAAAGGTTGGAAGAGCTACAGAACCAAGGTGTGTAGTGTGATGCAAATCTGTTGTGTGTCGTGGGGTCTCTTGGTTTCACAGAAGAATATTCCGCAATTTTGATTTTCATTAGGGATGCACGGGACGCACATATTTCGCATGTCGATGTCGTCACTAGGGTCCTTCTCTATTTTTTTCAGAAACAGCACAGTTCTATGAGATGGGTCAAACAACATCCAAAAACACAACAAACCACAAAAACAAACGAAAATCCATCTCCAAGGGCTAAATTGGTCGGTTTCTTTATGACCAAAACATGCACATTTGCGTCCCAGACATCGTGCCACGACTGGCGGAGCAGAGCCATCACGGGGCTTATGGACCTCATCCAAAAAGGGGTCACCGAAAAAATCGGGGTCCGGTGACATCACAGCTATCCGATGCTGGATTGAAATCATCAATGATTCTCGAAGTTTCAGTGTTTTTTTTTGGGATCTCCTAAAGATAAATCAAGTTATAGAATTATTCTGGTTGGTGGTTTGGAACATGGCTTTTATTTTTCATATATATATATATATATTGGGAATAATCATCCCAACTGACTAATATTTTTCAGAGGGGTTGAGACCACCAACCAGATAGATTTGTTATGATTTGTTATGATTTGTTTCTTTGTTTCTGTACCTTAGCCATTTAGCCATGCTTATTCCGGGATGAAACATCCTCTGACTGGTGATTCCAAAGATGTTGTTCCAAGAGTTCCAAGTCTTCATCCTGCACTGACAAGCATTTCTGATATTCTGCGGGTTTTGGATGGGAATATCATGGGGATAATCTATATAGATACCCTCTGGTAAACAAACATAGCTATTGAAAATTGCCATTTATAGTGGATTTACCCATTAAAAATGGTGATTTTCCATACTTATGTTGGTTTACCAGAGGGTAAATGTTGAAAAAGGACCGAAGCCTGCGACGTCACTGGAATGATGGTCCATCAAAAGGGCTGATTTTTGTATCCCCAAATGGCTGATTTTTGTCGGGTGAATGATGGTAACTGGTAAATGATCTGAACTGAACAATGCGTTGCTTTCATCTATGTTCAATAACGCAATTGCATTTATATATTGGTTGGTGGTGACTGGAACATGAATGTTATTTTTCATATATTGGGAATGTCATCATCCCAACCGACTTTCATATTTTTCAGAGGGGTTGAAACCACCAACCAGTATAAGTTTGCTGAATTTTCCAACACTGGAAGATGTTCGAAGCCAGGATGCAGCCTTGGCTCAAGTAACTGGCCTTTGGGCCTTATAACTTGCTGATCTTGCTGGCTCAGTCCCAGATCATCCATAGTTTGGTTGACATTTTTTTTTTTTTAAATATACCCTCTGGTTATTTAACATAGCCATGGAACATCTCCATTTTTTAAAACGGTAAACCATCTATTTCTATGGGCCATCTATACCATGGCGAACTGTTAGTCATAACCAGAGGGTAATTCCAAAAGAGGGCCTGCAGCTCCCAAGACCTTCTCTCAGACTGTAGTTGACTGTTTTTTTTAGGATCTTAACATATCTTAAAAAATCTTCTCAGAGTGTATTTTTTAAGCACTTTTTGGAGATCCACAATACATCATATAATATCATATATAGTAGTAAGAAACAAAGAAAAATCCTCTTAGAACCCTGTTACCCTCTGGTAAACTAACAGTTCGCTATGGAAATCCCCATTTCTGGTAAATCAACCATTTCTATGGCCATTTTCAGTAGCTATTTTGACATTACCAGAGGGTAATGAAGTGAGCTCTCACCACCAAGTGCCCAAGAACACCAACGCCACGTCGCCATGCAGCCTCCGGAGCTCCATCGGGCAAGGAGTGCGCAGAGCGCCCAGACGCAGCCACTTGGGTCGGGGAAACGCCCCCAGCCGAAGGGACGCAAGCATGTGGAGAACCACAAGGCTTGACCATTTGTATATAATATATATATATATATATATGTAAATATTATACTTTATATATTATATATATATATATTATATGTATATTATATATAATATATTATATATTATATATATATATTATATATATATATTATATTATATATACATATTGTAATATATTTTATATATAATATACATATATGAGTAACCGACACAATTATTGTAATACTACTTGTGTATTGGGTTCGCCTTGGCTTTCTGAGGTGTGCACAAAACCTTCACAACGGGAGGGGGACGTCCCTATACCGATGCCCCTTTCTTGGATGAGTCACCTCATAGTACAGTTTGACAGACTTGGCCTACATATTCTATGTATGTACATTATATATGACATATTATGTAATTATATGACATATACATATGAATACATGAATATATGATATACATGGCTATAGCCCATATGGGTGATGAACCACAAGCAGTTTTCATGGTGTCACCAGGATACTTCAGCTACCTTCACCGGCGCTGCCTGCCTTAGCTCAGCTAAGGTATTCCTTCGAAGATGACGATGACGACGTAGATTTCGTGGACGAGGAAAACGACGCAGATCGCTGGAGGGTTTACGTTGTGAATTCGACAGTGAATTCGCTGATTGATTGAAGAATTATACCCTCTGGTAAACGTTTACAGAACTATGGAATATCCACCCATTTTCAATGGGAAAATCCACTATAAATGGTCATTTTCAATAGCTATGTTAAATTACCCGAGGGTAAATTATAACTATCAACTATAACTGATGTTAACTACATGATGTCCATCAATGATATAGATCAATAGTTATAGTTGATGTTATATGATGTTATATGATGTTATACATAGATATGACATAGATCAATGAGATTGTCTTTGGAACATCGAGTTTCCGGATTCCCCCCACAGATTTTCCGTCACTGCTCCAGTCAGAACTGGGGCCCAGTTCTGCCGGGAGAAACATGGAAAATATCACCATTCATCAACGGCTAATTCAGGAACCTATTGTTTAGGCCTATGTTTCAGGGAATATCCTCACAAAATATGGCCAGAAATATGGTACTAACGTACCTCCATCAATTGGATCCTGAAATTACCATTGAATTCAGACATAATTCTGGTTGGTGATTTCCAAAATGCTTCCGTTGTGATGATGGTGCCAATTGATTTGCTTATTTGGGGGGGATGAGTTGAATCCCCAAGCAGAAACAGATTTACAAACGAGTTTTGTTGCGTCATGGTTGACCATAGGGGATCATCATAATCCCATATGATCCTGGATCCTACCAACATAAATGAAGGGTAAATCGTCACATCTGCAGGCGTTTCTGATGTTTCTGGAGATCAGCACCCTGAATGAACCCCAAATTTGGCAGGAGAAACCCTGCATTTTGGATGATCAAACGCATCATTTCCTGAATTCTGTTCCCCTATGTCAATCGGCCCCAATGAACTTCAAATTCGCAGATATCCTTGAAAACGAATCGAATTATAGAAGTGACATTTGCATGTTTTCACATATTATTCATATTTGGTATGTCCAAAACTCTGGTGCCCTTTTAGGGTACCTGCTGATGTTTCTTCCCGCATCCGCAGGCCAAGGTTACCGAGGTTGGAGGCGAGCGAAGGGCGGGTGGATCCAATCTTTCAAGACATGTGGATCCAAGGTGAAAATATTGGTTAAGAATATGTGGATCTAATGATAATTGGTTGGTGGTTTGGAACATGAATTTTATTTTTCCATATATTGGGAAGAATCATCCAATCTGACTCATATTTTTCAGGGGGGTAGGTATACCACCAATTAGATAATGATTCAATGATGCTTACTACTGGGGTAATGGTTAATAACGGCTTAAAATCTTCAACCACGATATTGAACTATGGCACAACCTATCAATGATGGTCACAACAGTCAATGGCTTAACAAGAATTAACCAATAAGCTGATAGTGGTCATATTTGTCAATGATGGCTAGTTTTTTTTCATATGTTTTCATCAAATGGATATATAGTGGTTAATTATTAAATTATGGTTAAACCAAACCAACAAACATGAGGTAATTCATCTCTGGTTGGTGGGTTGAAACGTTTTTTCTTCAATTGTAGAAATACGATGATGATAATGCTCCCCCTTGACTACTTTTCCAGATTGGGCTAAAAACGGCCAACCAGAATTTGTAGATTTCGTAATGGTTAATTGTTAATTAAATTGAAACAGGAATGAAGTATAGTGGGATATAAACAAAATCTGGTTGGTGGTTTCAAACATTTGTTATTTTCCATAATATTATGGGATAATTCTTCCCATTGACTAATATGTTTCAAGATGGTTAAAACCACCAACCAGAAAGAAAATTGGCATTAACCAACCAAAATGGTGGTACAATTGGATGAAATAGAATCGGTATAACCTAAAAAAAATGTTGCAAAATCACTGCGATGTCGCTGCAAATGATAATGGGATTGGGGTAGTTATCCCAAATCAACAAACTTTCAGCTAGGTTAGTTTTTTTTTTACTACACCCGAATTTGATGATTGATGATTAATTTTTGCCTTGCAAGATTCAAACGATGGGGTATACCCCATTTTCAGACACACCCTCATATCCATTACAGATCGTTACAGTAAAACAATTTTTAGCACTTCATGAGACTTTCGGTAAACAACTGCCGTGACAACTTGACGCCTCTGAATATTACATACCTATAAAACCGGATTGTAACCGGATACGTATATATATGCAAGTAAACGCAAAGTACAATCCATAGCTGATTTTTTTGAGTTACAGCAGCGGTTTTATTCGCCGAACCTTTGGTTATAGTAAGCCAAAACCACAAACAAAACCCAGCCTTGTAGCAGAAATGGGGAAGACCTTGGGCCTGAAAGGGGGATAGAAATGGCGCTGCTCAATCCCGATACGAACGCCGGCCATGGAGGATAAGGATATCCACAAGCATCAGCTATCATCGCTGACTAGCTGTTTGTTTGGATATGCCATAAATGCTTTTTAATACATGCCATAAAATTGGAGAAGTCATCCACAACTAGCAGCTATTTGATGCTATTTCTTGGTCTTCACAACTAGCAGGTCTCCCACCATCGGTCGCCAGGACGCCTGCAGCACATCTTCCAGTCGCTGACGTCCTTGGAGGCCGAGCGGCAACGGCTCATGCGCGAAGCCGTGGAATGCACAGGCGCAGCTCGGGGGGAATCGATTGGTTCGGTGCAGCTTGGTGGTTGAACGGGTCAAAAAATGTGGATTGGAAGGATGCTTTTAGGATGATATTCATGAAAAGCCGAGTGAAAAATGTGAAAAGCCATTGACGAAATAGTCAGATCTATATTTCTACCCTACTGCCGTAACGTCATTTTTTACCCACTTGAGATCCCTGGGGTGAACCACCAAGTCGTAGATGCGTCAGCAACTACACAGTACAACTGAATGATATGTTTTTGCCATGGGGATATATTAATCTTACCAGGTGGTCTTGAAACAATAAGTGCAACTGTAATAATATGTTGCCATACATTGATGTGTTGTTTTTTAGATTCCATTGTTCCATACATATTGTTAAGATGCTGGGTTTTATATGGTTTTATGACAGATTTTGATAGATTTAAATGGTTTTAACATGTTTTAACTGCATTAACCATGGGTTTTCCCCGGGTTTTCCCGGGTTTTTCCTTCCATCCCCAGGTGCGGAACAGTTTCCCCAGGCCTCAACGAGGACGAAGCCGTCCTGCTGCTGCGAGGCTGCGCCTGGGACGTGGCCGTCTTCAACGAGGCGAGCCTCGAGCACCGATTTTTCGGGGATCCCTGAAGAAGGTGGGTTGGTTGGTCATGGGGTTACTTTAATGATCATAGATATGGTTTATGGTGCTGAACAATTCTTGTGTCCTTTCCCCTTAGTATTTTCCATGTACCCTCTGGTAAACTAACATAACTATTGAAAATGGCCATAGAAATAGTGGATTTTCCCATTAAAAATGGGTGGATTTTCCAGTTCGCTATGTTAAATTACCAGGTGATCTTAATCTACTGGTGAATGTCAGATGGATGGTGAATGAAGAACAGGATTACCCTCTGGTAAACGTTAACAGTTCGCTATGGAAAATCACAATCTTTAATGGGTAAATAGACTATAAATGGTTTAACTATCTGAATCTACTCTGGTTGGTGGTTTCAAACATGGCCTTTATTTTCCATAGTATATGGGGATAATCCTTCCAATTGACTTTCATATTTTTCAAGATGGTTAAAACCACCAACCAGTACTGGTTTACTAGATATGAATGGTTGAATGGGATTTTAATGGGAGTTTACTGGCATTTTATTTGGGTCTTAATGGAATTTTAATTGGGTGTTAATGGAATTTGATAGGATTTAATGGGATTTTACATTGATGGGATTTAATGGAATTTGATAAGATTTAATTGGATTTTAATGGGATTTGATGGGGTTTAATGCAATTTTAATGGAATTTGATGGGATTTAATGGGATTTGCTAGGATTTAGTGGGATTTGATAGGATTTATTGGATTTAATGGGATTTTGGAATTTGATGGGGTTTAATGGGATTTGATAGGATTTGAACGGATTTAATTTGATTTTAATGGAATTTGATGGGATTTAATGGGATTTAATTTGATTTTAATGGGATTTAATGAAATTTAATGATTTAAAAACCCATTGATGGGACTTAATGGGATTTATCGGGATTATTAACCCATGATGTTTAATGTTTTTACACCATTTAATGGTACTTACTGGGGCTCAATTGGAAATTAATGGTGATTTCATGGGATTTTAATGCATTGTTGATCGGATTTTAATGGGATTTATATTGGGATATGAATGGGGTGTTTACATGGCGGCTGCACGTGAGAGAAGGGTGTTTCCACAGCAATGGCTAGGCTGCAACATGTTGTCCGGAGAAGTTTGTTGTGAATAGGCAACATGCACACTGGCCGACCATACAGAGGTGATAATGAAGGATCTGTGGAGACTTGCCAAGAAAGCTGCGGTGTCAAAGAACACGTTGTTGTCCCAGAACCAGCAAATCAAAATGCTTTTGCGGGGGGATGGAAAGAGCTTCCAGACGACGGATAGATATAGAATCAGGAGGCGTCCGCTGCTCCTCTTCGCGAGCAGCTCAAGAGCAAAATTTTGCCTTAGGCTGTGCCGCCGTGAGGATTCCTTGCTTTTTGTAGCTTATCGCAGCGGCGCAGGGAGCGTAGCTTGCTCGCGCAATGGATTGCGAACGGGCGCGTGGATAACACAGACGGCCCGCAGTTTGAAGCCGCAAAAAAAAAACACACTGGGATCATAGTCATTATGATATTCATGTCTGTGAATATTGAGTCGCAGAAGCAAATCCGGACAAGTCCTCAATTCAAGGGTTGAGGGGCGTTTCTTCACTGGTTGAATTGCTTGCCAAGAGCCTGCAGTCCCCCAGATAGATGTTGTAAAAGCAAGTTCAATTCATGCGATTCTATGATTGAAGCACTTTGGCAACAAAATCATGTAAAAACCATGGGATCACAGAAACATATTGACAGTCAAGATGCTACAACTTGCGAACGAAGGTCTTGGTGGCCTTTTTGAGGTGATATGATGCATTGAAAATTTTGGTGAATGGTAATAACCATTCTTGAGTGCGTGACTTCAACCAGCACTTCCGGAATTATTATATGAATCATGGTCATTTGTCGGCTGAGAACATTTGATTACTTGTTAAATTTGTGCCGAACACACTCTGTAGAACAATCTCAATATTTAGTTTTGGCTGAAAATAGGGTATCGCCATGTCCAGTGGATCATCACCATCTTCCCTATGAAAATGATCGTTGATTTTGGGGCATCCGCCATTTTCAGACAAACCAATTTTCTGGTTGGTGGTTTGGAACATGACTGGATTATGACTTTCCCATCATATTGGGAATAGTCATCATCCCAACTGACTCATATTGTTCAGAGGGGTTGGTTGAAACCACCAACCAGTTTTTGTTGAAACACCCGTTCTTTTTGGAACCCCTGTGGGAGGCATTTTTCGAGGATGCGGAGGCTTTGCGCAGCCGCATCGGTGTGGCGGAAGAGGATGGGGATGTGGTAGCCGGGCGTCGCGACCGGTGGCAGGTGGCAATGGGAGTTTCCCGCGCTGAATGGAAAATCCACCATGAAAAATAGTGATTTAATGGAATTTAAATAGTAAAATCATTAATCAATGAAGATGTGACTTCAAAATCATCGAACTAAATGTGTTTTTGTTTGATTACCGGAGGGTCTACTATGCTCTACCTATCAATATCCACCAATATCCAGCAGTATCTTCGTTTTGTTGGTTACCCCCTGGTATTTTCTTATACTACTATGGAATGGCACATTGAGTCCGATGATTACGGGTGCTTGGAGGTGCATTCCAGTTGGTAAATATGGATTTCAGCCAAATAAAACGGGAAATTAAAACAAAACATGTCGATTTCATCCGTTACTATCATGGTATTATGTGGGGTTTCACCTGGTAATGCAAAATCCTGGTAGTGAATTTTAACTGTCAAGACGATGGAGATGCAATTGACAAATTAGTTGATTAGTGGTGTTTCTACTACCTGGCTGAACCCCATTCAGCAAAAGGTTTACAGTTTGACCCCAAAACCCATGGCCTGGCACTGCCAATGAAAACAAACCATTGGGGATTTTCCAACTGGCGTTTGACACTATATTAATATATATATATATAGATATGTATGACATTTAGAATATTATACATATATATATAGATATTATATATTATATGTTTTAAAAACAGCAAATAATAAATATATTTTTTAACATCATATTATAAAATATAATAATATCATATTAAATTTTAATATGATAAAAAACATTTAACATAGTAAATAAAATATAACATAATATAACATATATAACATATAGTATTTAGAATATTACATATAAATAGAAGAAAATACGTACACTTTATATTTTCTTATATGCACACACATATATATATATATTTGAATATAATATATATAATTTGTTTAATTGATATTATTTATATATAATACATATTATTTAATATATATATAATTTTACTTTTATAATATATGCAATATTATAATATATATAGTTTAAATAATATATTGTTTTAATGTATATTTGATATGTATATATGTTTTCAAATATGAATAATATGGATTTATTCGGTATATAGTATGTTCAATATTTATACATTATATGTTGTGTATTTTACTATTACTATTGTATTTATGTTTTTTTTCTATATTTTTAATGTATACTATATATATATGTGTTTTTTTAAATATATAATATATAGTTTTTATTGTATATGTAATATACAAAATACAATTAATATATATATATATATATATTATAATATAGAATATAGTATTATATATATAGATAAATATATATATATATTTAATATATATATATATATTAATCTACATATATATATATAATATAAATAATTCCAAGTATCCACATCATCCACATCACGGGTCAAGTCCGTGGGCCCCTCACGGCTGTCATCAAGGACCATTGGAAATCCCATAGGAAAACCCAGGGGTAATCCCATAGGAAAATCCCAATTTGTATAATATGTAAGATCATGTGAAATCATGTAAAATCCCTATGTCTTGCCAAAAAAATCACGGGTTGTTGGTTAAATCACGTGAAATCCCCATGTTTTTAAATTCAAATATTCATTCAACCAACAGTTTTCTCCATGATATCCTGGTATCTCTTCATTCAACCACCATTTTTCTCAACGATATCCCCGTTTTTTTTTTCTACTGTTTGCTGTTTCACCCACCCACTGGGTAGCAAATCAGTTCCCTTCCCCTCCCGTCCTTCGGGTCCTTCGGGTCCTCCGCGAGGATTGCCAGATGTCCAGCGCGGAGGGCGCGCCTCTGTGCAGCATCTGCTTTTCGGAGCCGGGCGAGAGCTTGATGCCCTGCCAGGTGGGAGAACGGCACGGAAGATGTGGGCCCAAAAGATGACAGATATTAGATATCAGATACCTGTAGGTATACATATAAATATATACATAACAAAATTAACAAGGTTAATGGGATTTATGGGGGGTTTAAGTGGGATTGATTGGGGATTTAATGGAATTTAATTATGATTTCTTCTGGATTTAGTGGGATTTACATGGAATTTACAATATTTAGTAGGGTTTGCTAGGATAGAACCTATAGGGACTTAACTATCAAACACAGTTATACCTGTTGTAACTCTGGGATGCCCTTTCAGTTTGTTAGCTAAGTTGATATATAACTTCAACAACTGGGTTTTATGATATATCGATAGTTGATGGGGGTTGGAAATCAACTTATGACTGGGTGGTACCATCTTAAATGGACATATACTTGGGAGCATATAACTGGGGTATAAACATATAGTTGGGACATAATGAATGAGAAAACATATTATTGGGACAAAATGGAATATAATAGGTGTTGAGCCAGCAAATAATCAAATGTTGGTGATCCCCCAAAAGGTAGAGATGTGTCATTGTTAAATTGGTGGTTTCACATATTCTTACTGTAGTAGATCCAGTCGAACCTTCTGTGAAGTTATTTGAAGTTACCTACCCCCAAGCTACCTAACCCCCCAAGTGATATGCCAAATACTCTCTCAGAAGGTACTTGGATCCATAGTGGTTTTTTATGTTCAAACCTATTTCAGAGGGTACTGTAGTAGGCTATGTGATGTTACCTCTTGATTTCGCCAATTGCCTGGGTGGAAAGAGAGCAGCACCCCTGGCGGAGATGTCCCGAAGTTTTCCGAACATGTTTCACAGCAGTGTGGTTTTGAATCTATGTCCTTCCCTGCTACATGTTACCTATAGGGGTACTATAGTTCTTTTAAAGTAAGGACACCAAAATGCGGCGCCTGATTCTATTTGAGGAAACATGCTGATTTTGACATGAAGTGATGATTTCATTCTGTGGGTTAAAATGAGCCATGTAAAAGGGGTCGCACGCATGGTCGCACATATGGTCACACGCGCGTCGAATGGATTTTCTGGTGGATTTGAGACGATGACTAGTTTAGATTTTGTATCTTTCCCGTAAATGGGGATGTACGAACCACCCCCACAGAAATGCAGGTATCTAAGATAGGAAATGTTATAATACCGTATCATACCACCGTACCCCTGGAAAGTCTGTTGCTATGACATTCCGACGCCTTTCTCAGTCGCCAGAAATCTTGGAGGCGCCTGAGCTCTTTTGCCGTGACTGCTGGCGTCAATACTTGGAACAAGCGGTTCAAGAGGGTCGAGGTTCGATCCACGGCTGGTGGAGGATGATCATATTATAATTACATGACAAAGTAATGGTAAACATATTCCAACACATATGAACATATATATATATGTATATATCAAAATATACAAACATTTATAAACATATACATATATAAACAAATACAACATTACAAACATATATAAACATATATAAGCATATATAAACATATATAAGCATGCATATACATATATCAACATAGCATCTGAAATCCAACAATCAACCTACAATTTGGAATGGTCATAGCACCCGTTTTTGGTGATTTTGGGGATGGTTTATTATTGGGTTTACCACACTAGGGGTTTCTTAAAATGGGGCATCCCGCAATCACCAGGGGTTTCAGTTTCAGTACTAAGTCATGGCCTAAACATGTACTGATATTCTTCTTACATATGATTATGTGATATACCAATGCAAAAAACATCTACCAATAATAATCCACTGTATATAATGAATTTGAAAACATGTCTGGCCCACCCCAGCAAATTTGCCAGTCAATTCTACAAATGAACTTTTTATTCCACAGCTCAATATCCATTGAATACTTCAATGAATTTCCGTTTGATATTTGGATATTCTGGATATTAAACACCCCATCAACGATCATTATTATATATCCCGTAACCCTTAGCATATGAAGTTCTATGCGTTCTCTTAGCTACCATAAATCAGCGGTTCCATGAATTCCCATGAAAATCCCATTGGCATCCCATTAAGTCCCCATGAAATCGCTATTTTGTGTTGGTTACCCTCTGGTAAACTAATACAACTATGGAAAATCACCATTTTTAGTGGGTAAATCCACTATGAGTGGCCATGTTCAATAGCAAACTGTAACAAATTACCGGTAAATGGATGTCCAACATATCGACACAGCTCCAAGTCCAGGTTGCCTAGATCTGAGATGTCCCGCGGTGGCGTGCAAGGAGATCCCTGGAGATATGGATCGCAGCAACCTTCAAAAGACGGGTGTAGAAAAAGATACTGAGATTATAGTCTCTATATATAATACGTATGTATATAAGTATATATATATATATCCCATAGGATCCATGTATGGTATATATGCTAACATTTGGGGTATATTGATGGTAAATGTTACCATATATAGCATACATGGATCCTATGGCTATATATAATATTGTATGTTATATAATTTAAGTAGTATATATATATGTATACATTACATACATAGATACACACACACATATATATATATGTAAACTCCGGATTTAACCGTGTCATCTATGGGAATACGCTTCTGCGCTTCCGCATGCCACGGATGATCAATGCTGATCTTTCTGGTGGGATTACCCCCATGGACTCCGAAATGGCTTGTAAAATACTGTAAGTTGAACCTCCCAAGTTAAACGAGCCACAGTGTGCATCCCAGTCGCAGTAAAAAAATAATAAGTCGACAATAAGAATCTTTTTAAAACCAGTTCTCGCTTTTCATTAAATATTCACATGCCTTTTGAAGCACTAAGTCACTCAGGTCCCGATGACCATCGCCCCGGCGGCCGGTAACTGGTTCCAGGAGCTGGTTCGACCCTCTCTCTTTGCATCCTTGCTGTGACTTTGACGCGGGTGGGATGCATCATGGGGCTCCCTGGCGTTGTTTTTTTTTTACCCTAGAACCATAGGTTTCCATAGTGGAAACCACATGAAAAAACTTGTTTCACCATTGATATCCATTGATGATTTTGGGGTCAGAACAAAAATGCGGGACTGCCATTTTATGATGAATTCTCCAACTTAGATTAGATTAGAACAACATTTGGCGTGGTTGTAAACTTACACCTTCTGAGATAACTCGATTACATCATTGAGCACCAGTTCTGATTTTAAAACCTCATTATCCCAAGGGCATTGCGTTTTTTTCATCGTGATTCAATGATGCAATCGAGTTCAACCCAATGCTAATCACTTTTAACACGCATTGCACTTGATTTCCCTATTTCCTGGCGCATGTTCACTGCTTCAATCCTGTGCCAGCAGGGATACCCTTTGAGTCTTTGAGTCATGAAAAAGTTAGCTATGAAAGCCATGGCCCATTGACAGAGGCTTTACCTCTCAAACATATAGTGATTTTAAAAAAGGCATGTTAAATTACCACAGGGGGTAACAGTAAGAAAACCTGTTTGGTACCCTCTGGTAATTTGTTACATAGCTATTGAAAATGGCCATAGAAATTGTGAGTTTTCCCATTAAAAATGGGTGGATCTTTCCATAGTTACGTTAGTTTACCAGAGGGTATTTCCCATTAAAATGGTGATTTTCCATAGCTATGTAACAAATTACCAGAGGGTATCCAATCAACAAAAAAAACATCTTGCTCTTCAAGCACGGAAATATCGACAGTTCCTGGCCTTCTCCACGCCCTTCGCAAAGTCATATCTTTTCACATTGAAAAATATGTGGGTACCCTAAAATTTGGATGATTTATAGCGGAAAAGCCTAAAAAAAAACGAATGATAAGTAGGATACCTCCATGACTTAGGACATCCTACTTTATATCATCAACCAAACAAATGATCAAATCGAATCAGGGCATTGTCACCTGTTTTTTGAAGACCTCGGCATTCAAAGGATGTGAATCAAAAAACAATTGGAACATGACTGTCAATTCCAGGCATGAAAGACAACTTACTGGTGCGTGCGTGCTAAACGTAGGTTGCTGGATGGGTTGCTGGGATGATTATTGATAGTTAGCCAGTGGATCATTCCCGAAAATTCCCTGCGTTTAGCACCAGTAAGAAAAACATGGAAAAACAGCACCTGTTCACCTTTTCACACAAATCGCTATTCGAAAAAACTCAGCATTGACTTCAATGGAAAACAACCCAGCCAATCTGATGCCTCTTGGTCAGCTGATGGTTTTTCAGTGTAGCCAAGGCTTTGGCAACATCCAGATGCATTTTTGTTTTAAACATTCACATGCACCATGGTCAAAAGTTGTATTTATACTCCCATTACAAAGATTCCCACTATGGCACTAACAGTTACTAACATATAATATTACCCTCTGACAGTTGTTCACAGTTTTGTACAACGAAACACCGGTTTCTTACAACGATTTTTCATGATTGTTCCTGATTTTTCCTGATTTTTCATGATTTTTCAATTTTTTTTTATAGGTAAATCATCGAAGTCTAGGGAGAAGCCTGGCCCATAGGCTCCCGAGCGGCTCCCGAGCGGAGCCTCTTAGGTCAGCACCACTCTTGGAGCGATACCAGCGCTTTCTGACCGGAAGTCTGGTGGATGCCCGGAAGCTCAGCGACTGGCGTATGGCCTGGCCCAGTATCTCCTGGCCCGTTGTGGTGAGGCCACTTTCCAATAGTTTAATGGTGGTTTAATGGGATAAAAAACCAACAAAAATGGTGATTTTCATGGGATGTCATCTATAAATGGCCATATCATAGCTATAGGGTCTGGTGAAAATCTACTGTTAATCATGGTGAATAATTATATGGTTATTATATGGTTAATGATGGTTTATAATCATCGACCCATGATACCCTCTGGTAAACATACAAAAAGCTATTGAAAATGGCCATAGAAATAGTGGATTTTCCCATGAACAATGGGTGGATTTTCCAGTTCGCTATGTAACAAATTACCAGAGGGTATCCATTCTGATTTTTTGGGGGGGATATTGGGATATAGATAAGAATGGAGAAAATAATGGATATGATATATCTATGAATCTAGATCTAATAACTTTCTATCTTTGTTGGGATATCCAATAGATAATAATGGATAATGATGGATAATGATGGATATATATCTAATAACTGGGCCCCTCCAGATTACTGTTCGATGATCGCAACATCATCCCTATGAAACATACGTTGATGTTCGCAAGCTCTGAAAAATGACCTTACGAGCCTAGAAATTGCTTACTTCTTCCAAGTAGATTATATTATCTGGTTGGTGGTTTGGAACATTTTTTATTTTTATATATATTGGGAAGAATCATCCCAACTGACTAATATTTAGAGGGGTTGAAACCACCGAGCAGATTATACACGTATTAAGTATACGTGGATAGAAATTTTGGTTACTCAAATTTCTTTCGCATATTTTGGTTCAATTTCTGTCCATTTTCAAGATTTGTCCATGTCAAAATAAAAAAGACAAATTCAAAGACAAAGTAACCATTTCATGTTTTCAATTTTGGGTAATTACGTTGAGTGTGCCCGGGTATGTCTGCCCTTTTCCCGTGAATTTCCGCTCCATATTTAAACAAATCCACTGCATAGATTAATATGATTTATATAGAATCCAAATGAAACCCATAATGAAATATGTATAGTCCATATATATAATTATTACAAGTGTATATAAAAGATATATACTGTAATACATATATATATAATCCAAATGAAACTTATATTTGTATATTATAACACATGTCTAGTCCATCTAAAATCCAACTAAAATCCATCTAAAATCCAACCCTTGATTTGCTGTGCAAAACTTTTTTTCTTCTTCTCCCAGTGGGTTTCAGCCACCAATGGACGAATCGAAGATCCGGGAAAATCCTAATGAATCCCATGAATCCCAAAGGGCGGGCGGATGGGGCCCCCAAAACGCCTTCGTTACTGAGAGAAATGAATGGGCTTTGTGGCTGAATGGAAAACTATGGTTTATAGTAGATATACATTAGATATACCTATAATTATAGATATACCATGATATACATTAGATATACATTATAGATATACCATGATATACCTATAATTTTGTTTGGCTTTATAATCCCACATCACCATCACCGTCACTGGGTGGCCCCATCCTGCATCTGGCGATCTTTTAGAGACGGACTCACTCGTATATTTTCCAGAGGGATAGGGCGAAAAACCACCAACTAGATAATATTAAAACTGTATAGCTAGATGTATTTTTCATATTTTTCATCATTAAATACTATAACACAATTTACCTTTTTTTCATCATCCCATTATCCTATAATTCATATGATGTTCCATTAATCTGAGGATTATTGATTGCATAAGTATTCACTATAGAATCAATGAAACAAATCCCCAGACAATTCATCTGATGTTCCATTGATCCCATAAATATCATCCATAATCCCTCTGGTAACTTTTGGGCTGATATATGAATCTAATACCCGGCCTGGTTATTTAACATAGCCATGGGAAATGGCCCTAATCGAAATAGATGGTAAACACCGTTCTTAATAGCATGGGTGGATTTTCCATGGCGAACTGTTAGTCATAACCAGATGGTAAATCCCAGATTTATATTGCTCCATTAAAAAAAAAAGCTCCTGGCTAGTAATAACCATTTAAAATATGTTATTGTGATTTTCCATGGCTATAATTACCAGATTGCTCCATTTTCCTGGCCGAGCCGACCTCGAGGACTCGCGGGGCAAGCTGCGCTGGTGTCCGGGCCGCAACTGCTCGGCCGCCGCCGGAGAACCCCTTGGCGGCTTGCAGGAGGCGACCGGGAGGACGGGACGCGGCACAGCATGGGAACCAGGCAAAATGATGAGTTTTCTGTGGATTTGATATGGATAAAATTAATTTTCCATGGAATTTCCATGGGATTTTCATGGATCTTAATGGGATTTCTATGGGATTTTGAAGGACTTTCAATGGGATTTTCCTGGGATTTTGGATTTATTTCTGGGATTCCGATGGGTGGAGGATGTTGGAGGTATTTTTTAGCAGCAACTGGTTGATGATTTGGTGATGTCACCAAATAATACCAAATATCAATATTAAACTATACCATAATGACAAAAATATGTAACTAAATAGTTTAGTATATTGTTTAGTTACTATAAACTGTAACTATCAACAAAACAATATTTACTATAATGGCTGCTGTAAATATTGTTTTGTTGATATTCACAGCAGCCACTTTTTGGTAAAATCACAACATTATTGTTGTCATTTCCCATCTCACTCTTAAAAACACACAATGTTTATCTGGATCGAGGCCATATCTTGCATTATCCATGCCATTTCTTATATTATTGGTTAAATCATGTTAAATTTTAGTTGCCCACTAAATTTTGTTGATACCCTCCGGTAATCAAACATGGCTAGCTGGGAAATCCCTTTTGGAGGTTTAGTTCGCTGGCAGAATGATAAAATTATATCGAACTAAATGAAACATGTCCCAGTTTGCGCCGCCATCCATTAATAATCATGATTCACCATTCTTAACCACTATTGACCACTATTAAGCCTCTATTAACCACTATTAACCCACTATTAACCACTATGAACCCACTATTAACCCACTATGAACCCACTATTACCACTATTAACCCACTATTAACCACTATGAACCCACTATTAACCCACTATGAACCCACTATTAACCACTATTAACCCACTATTAACCATTAAGTTAATCATCTATTCATCATCCATTTTCGGATCTTCGGTCAGGTGACGTGCCCGTGTGGCACTTCCTGGTGTTTCCGTTGCGGAAACGACGTGCATCTCCCTGTGACCTGCGAGACGGTGAGACGTTGGGAGGAGAAGAATCGCGACGAAGGCCTGGTTCAACACACGGCGATTTCACCATGAAATAGATTGAAATGCTAGGTTTATACAGTTTGTAGCACCCATGAAAATGGTGAACTTGGGCCAATAGTGACTTAGTGAATATTCTATTTTCATTATTTACCATGATACCCTCTGGTAATTTGTTACATAGCGAACTGGAAAATCCACCCATTTTTCATGGGAAAATCGACTATTTCGACTGGGCCATTTTCAATAGCTATTTTAACAAATGACCAGAGGGTAGATTGAAATGCTAGGTTTGAAGATGTTTTAAGAACTTTCAAGATGGTTTTCAAGGATCAAAGATATTTTTAAATAATGGGATTTTGAAGCGTCGTCGCAGGTGCCTTAACCATTTGGGTGAGGTTTTTACACCTTTTCAACGCCAAAGCTAGGGATTTCACGGGGAATTATGATTGGAACCAACAAGCAGATGTCAATCTATTTAAGTCATCAAAAAACGGTTAAAATCTTCACCGACGATGAGATTTAGGGATTTGCTGTAACAAAACCTGCGGGAGTTTTTTTTAGATTTCGCTGCGAAAGTAAGATAAGTAGGTCGGAGCGTCAAATGTTTTTGCTGGACGTCCATGGACTTACACATCAAATGGTGGAGAGAAGCCACTTCAGCTGCTGGTTTATGGTGATCCCATGTGATCTACTGTCGATGGGTAAGTAGCCATAAACTCACAAGAACTAACCTAGCTATTGAAAATCTCCTGTTTTTTGTCCAGAACGGTCAATCAACGAACTAAATGGGCCATCGAACTACCATGAATTACCATAGCTATGTAAGAAATCTCCAGAGGATTTGTTAATTCTTGGTCACCTTGAACATCGCGAATCATGACATGATTTGCCCCGCAAAAACATTGGATGATTTTGAAGGATGGTGCCATCATGATGAAAATCCTAAGGTAAAGGAACTATCTGCCCCGCCAAAAAGGATGGTTCACTAATAAGAACGATCCGGTTTACTGTATGCTTTCATTGGTATATGGGGATTGATCTAAAGTTTAACTTTGGCAGAAGGTTTTTTTTTAGTTTGCGAACAAAACATGTTGCTTCGAAAAAAAAGGTTAGATATATTAATATCATGAATCCCAACATGGGTCCCACCAAAAATTAATATGGACTTCGCAAAAGTTTCGCAAAAATAAATATGATGTGTATATATATATAAAACACATATATATAATATCATATTTAACATATATATAATAATTATCATATTTAACATATATATATATATCTCAAAAACAAAATGCCCTGTCTGAATCAAACACTTGGATCAGCCCCGCGGGTTGCGATTCCAACGCAAAATCGCAGGTTGCGACGTGGTTTGGATCAAAGCCAATACCAAGTTGTGTCCAAAGTGTCAAAATCCCATTGACCCTTGACAGCACACAGGCACCCCAAGATACCCCAAGGCGCTGGATGATGGATGAAAAAAATCTCATGTGATGGTTGAGTTGATTTTACGATGGATTTCACTATAGATTTTGTCTACTCTCTAGAAAAACTAACAGTTTCCTATGGAAAAACTTGTCCTTAATGGGTAAATCATCTATAAATGGGCCATGTTACACATGTTCCACATGTTCAATGGCTATGTGGTTCACCTGGGACTGCTGAGGAGAAGAATGGCGGCTGCATGTGCCTCGGCGGCCGGTGAGTTTTCTGGGGCAACTAACATGATGATAGTCGCTTAAGCAACTAAGATGATGATACCCATATGCTCCATGGTGCTGGTATATTTACCTACATGACTGGGTGATTTTGTTCGGACACATGTTGGTAAATATTCCAGCACCATGGAGCATATGGGTATGGCTAAAGCATGAACATGACGAATATTGAAGGATTAAGATGTTTTGTTTTTTGTACATGTTCCATTGCTGGTTGAAACAGAAGTTTTGTCACGCGATTCCACCATTTTGTTGGTCGAGTTGGTCGGAATGATCTACCTGTCTTCGGTGATAGTCATTCCCCAAATTGATGTTTCAAGGGCGAGGTTTAAGAATGTTTCATGTTCCAACCAACTAGTGACCGTGAAACATATCCATATCTGGTCATATCCTAATGAAGTATACTTAAAATTACTTAAATATATTTTATCATATCCCAATTTCGATATTCATTCAACCATAGACGGAATGATGCACCCAATGATTTTGGGATAGTTCATCCCTTTTTTTGATACACTTGGATGAGCGCCATGAGAAAACGTAGAGGTACTACCCCTGGCATTCTTTTTTATACAGCTATGTTTTTTTTTAATATAGCTATGGAAAAAGTTATTTTTAGTACTTGTTTATAGATATGGAATAGTAGTTGTTTTTTTAAACTTTAAATAGGTAAGACAATGTAAATGTTTTTCTTACAGAATGGGTGGCAAAGTGAGAATTACAAGAGGATGATGCCAGCCCTTGGGAAAGGCTTGCTTCTCCGCGGCTGCAGATTCTGTGCATCGAACGAAATGGGCCATCGAACTACCATGGCTATGTTAAAATTATAGGCTACCCTCTGGCTATTAACATACCCATGGAAGCCATGGCCCATAGGAATAGATGGTTTACCGAACTCAAAAATGGGTGGATTTTCGAGTTCGCAAACTGTTAGTCATAACCAGAGGCCCCCCAAATTGCAATGGCTTATCATTCCCAATTCGGAGCTTATTCCGGGATAGATCCATAAAGAAACCACGACCAAGCCATCAGCAAAACCGGTGATTTTTGGATTCGGGACATCATTGCAGCATGTTTTTTCTGGGAATTTTCATGTGGGTGAAACAATGGAAAATAAACCACCCATGACTGGGAATGGTACCCATACCACCTATGTATGGTGATTTGGGGGATGGTTTATTATTGTTTTACCCACATGAGTACAATTTGTCCTTATGTATCCTTATGTACTGTAAGAGGGATTCCCCAGTATATGCAAATATAAATGGGTGAACCCAATAAGTGTCTTTTCAGAAAGTGCCAATTATTTCTTGAACCATCTTGAATGGAGAGTAAAAACCTGAAGTTTCATCCTATGTTTTTCATACTTTCCGCGTAGATTTCATTAAACAAATGGAGCCAACAAGACAGAAGTTTCAGCTGTAATGTTGGTAAAACAACACCATAAACCATCCATATTTTCATGGTTTATACAGTTTGTAGCACCCATCAAAATGGTGAACTTGGGCCAATAGTGACTTAGTGGATATTCTATTTTCATTATTTACCATGATATCTTCTATCAATGGGATAATAATGGATCCTCTTACTTTACGAACCTTCGATCCTTTTCTGAGGCACATGACCTGCCGAAAACCCGGAGGCTGTGGTGCCTTAGCTTCAAACAAAGCGCTGGGGGGAAAGGCTGGACTTTGGGAGTGAGATCTTTTGCTTTGGGAAGGCTAAGCAGCCAACTAAGATTTATATCGCATATTTATATATATAATATACACATACATGATCTACGTATGGTAATCTACGGGGATCTGCCATTGCCTAGCCATTTTTCAACACAGATGCAAGATTGGCCATGGAATGGTGAAGCATTTGGCTTGAGAAGATGCGTCGAGACGCGGTGGGTAGAAATCATAGGGAAAACACTGGCTAATGTTAGCTAATGTTTGAAATCATAGTGGAAAATTGTAAGGAATTCATAGGCTAGCTAGTCTTATGTAATATTAGAAAATCATTTGGCTTTCAAAAGCAAGCAAAAACAAGATCCAGTGAATCTAAACAAGATTCATCACTGGAATTTAAGCTCTTCTAGGAATGTGATAGGGAAATTCTTAAAGTGTTCTTCGCTCCTGGATGTTTGATATTGTCTTGGGCTGAAAGAAATGTAGATTCATCGTAATCTCGACATGCCAACACAAACCCACATGCAACCCATGGTGCTGGTATATAAAAACCTACATGACTGGGTGATTTTGTGTCCGGGCAAATGTTGGTGTGCATATTCCAGCACCATGGCTTGTCAATGGGGATATGTTGGAAGCATGTTGCGAAAAAAACCATCCCTGACCAGGAACCAGATCAAACACATCACGTTTCATGAGTTTTCTCTGAAAAAGCGCTGTGTTTAGTGGATGAAAAGAGTCATCATGAAATTCGGCTTTCGTATCCAAAACACATCAAAACACAATTTTGTTGTAGAATCCGTATATATATATATATTCCCTTCCTCGGAGAAATAAACACCCCCGAAAACCGCAGTTTCGTACTGACTGATTTGTTTGTTTGAGGCTGGCACTTGTTGCCGGAGCTTGCTACTAGGGGTATGGGATTATGTTGGTTCAAACACCTGCTTAGTTGAACCGTGTTTCATGCGGTCTTGTTTTGTCATTGTTGTTCACATATGCTTACACAACTGTTTTAAATTATGATCTTCAATTATCTTCAGGCAGTATGCCATGAGAAATGATTTTCCACATTTATGTCATCAGAAAATATAATATATAAGCTGGTTGGTGGTTTGGAACATGTTTTATGTTTCCACATATTGGGAATGTCATCATCCCAACTGACGAAGTCATATTTTTCAGAGGGGTAGGGCGAAACACCACCAACCAGATAATTAATCATCATTAACCATCATTAATCACCATTAATCACCATTAACCACCATTAACCAAGCAGTTAAAAATTGTGATTTTCCATAGTTATGTAAACGTTTACCAGAGGGTAACCATCATTAAATCCCATGGGAAAATACCATGAAATCCCATGAAAAATCCCATGAAAAATCCCATGAAATACCAGATAATCTCTATGAAAACCCTAGGAACTAAAAAATGTTCTAATAAAAAAAATAAAGCCAAGAAATAGAAAAAATAAGATACAGGATAAACCATGGTGATTTTCCCATGGGATTTCCACCGGGCCGAGTCGCCGAGGCCATGAGTTCTGCTGGATCTGCATGAAGAGCTGGCGAGACCACCGGCAATGCAATGCGCCACTCGGAGCCGTCGCCATGGGATTTCCATGGGATTTCGCCATGGGATTTCTATGGAAAAT